CAGTATAAATTAATTTAATATATATATCCTCTTCTTCTCATTGTTGGTCATATTAATTTACATTGTGGAGGAACAAAAGGGTTGACTGAGAGCCTTGGCAGAGAGAAGATGCAAGAAGCACATCATAAATCATTTGCAGTGAGCTAAAGTAGTTTAATCGAAGAGTTTTGAGACAAGGCGGCACAATCAAAAATCAAGAGTGAGAGTCCTGCAGATGACAGGATACAAGGAAATACACAACTCCTTTTAAAGTATGATTTACATGAGTCAGAGGACTAACACAGAACTTATCTCAGATCGAGAAAATGGCAGAAGCCAATTTGACATTTGGAAAGGGAAAAGAAGTAGGAATGGAACTGCAATTAGATCTGATTTGACTACAACCTTAGCACTGCTAAATATCAAGAACTAATTAATCCTTTCCAGTGGTGAAAATACTACTTGTTCTAAAATTAGAGCTATGTGATTACTAAAAAAAAAAGGAGGGAATACAACACACTCTAGTTTTGCGGAAGTTATGCTACCAATACATTGCACTTGGAGGAAGCACTAGGGTTTTAGCCTGTGAGAAAACACAGCAAAAGCCAAACCATCGACAATACAAATTAGGTAAATTCCGCATTATGAAAGTATAACAAAGGCATAACATTAAAATAAAAATAACACAACAAACATAACTCAGTGGAACACAGAGATCTCTGAGCTAGTGCTTGCATGAAATGATAAACATTTATTGCAGTTGCATTTGATTGGTTATTATGTTTTTAAACCCACGCTAACTTACAATTCTTGAGGCAGGTACAAAAGGAGCCTTTCCCCATATGGAGGAAAAAAGCATGTTTCCAATACCTTAACTGTAAAGGGCCCCATAACTTAGCTCTAAGGGTTAACTGACTGTTTCACAATAACACCAAAACTTGCTACAGAGGACTGACAATTAGATAAAAGATTTCTGTCAGATGTAGCACCTGAAGCAAACACTGAAGTTTCTGCTTCAGATAGCCCTAGCATCTGTGTATCTAACACGGAGAAAATGCACAGCCAGTCTTTACTCAAGAGTTCAAGCACTCTATAGTGCTTGAACCTAATGCTTTCTCATCTGCAGAAACAAATTTCAGATCTTAGGAGTGACAGAGAACAGCATGCTTAATTAGTGCAAAAAAGTAAAAGCAGATAAAAAATAATTTAGTGTGACTCAGTGGGTCTCTCTGAATGTGCAGCATGAATAAACTTGAAATTTAGATGATTGCAAGTATTTGCATATTTTCTACAAAAGAGAAAAATTATATTGCAGAATAAGGAGCATACCACAGATTTGTGACTACTTCCAACTTTTCTCAAAATTCTCCAAGAATAGACCTGTTACCTCTGACTCTTTTCTCATGAAAACTTATGATATTTCATATCTTTTGGCTGGGGCTATTGCAGCCCATCTCCATACTGCAGTTTGTCATCATGCTTAACTGGACTTCAGCACTTTCTTTTGGCTTTTTTTTTTTTGGATATATCTTGCCAGTAGTTAATGCACTTGACCAGAGAGCTTCCATGTGGAAAAACTATTGTTTAATACAAATAGCAGAATAGCGGTAAAGTAAAACAAACAATATTTCCAAAAGAAGAGAGTCCATATGTTTTTACTTCTCTCAATGCCTCACTGCAAGAAATGAAAAGAAAATCCTGAATTCTTGGGGTGTCTCAGAGAGTACCTTAGACAGCTTGTTTCGCTGAAATAGAAAACACTTTCCAGATAATAATTTAAAAAAAAATGTTTTTTGGTTGTTTGGTTGTCATAATTAGTAAAATGAATCCTGTAGCTTTGGCAAGTGGCTGAAAATAACACCTTTACATCTGATCCAGATCAGACGATATCTTATCTTCATGTATTTTACCACTATACTGGCATACTTCTTAGATTGTCTATCATTAATTAATCTAGCACATACGTACGAGTATCTCCACCTGGACAGTTACATGGACATTTCCAAAAGGAGCATGTTTCCCATTTCAAGGGCTTAAAATCACCAACACTGTGCAGGCAGACCTACTATGTGCAGCAGCAATTCCAAAGATTCCAAGAAAAATGAACGCTGCTGCACTTGCACAGTTCCAATGCATCCTTATTCATAGTGTCTCTGACACATCACATGAGCATGAAGAATCTGAAATGCCTGGCACCTTACATCTGATCATAAAATCAGGTAATTTTGTTCACTCAGGAATGATTCGACAGTAAAATCGATCAAGCCAATCTGAAGTTGGCTTGTGAAAGTAAATGGTCAGCTCCTAGTTTAGGTGCTTTAAATTAATGGTGGGAACCATTCTCTATAGTAGATGCACATTGTTAATTGGTATAATGCCATCATAGCATCTCTACTCAATAGAAATGTGAATTAATATTTTATAATCAATGTATGGGATTATATGGGATTAGCCCTAATCAGCTACTTTATCAGATATCAAAATGCTGAGTGCAAAAGAATCTCACCACACTGTTTTGAACGAAGCCACACAAAACTGTGCTTCCTCCACATCTTAGCAGAATTTAAATGGAGGAGTATATAAACTGAGTTTGCAAGACATTTCTATTAGTTTTCAAGAAATAGTTATTTTCATTGGCTATCATCTGATTAATGAAACTGTATACACAATGTGCAGAAGATACACACAAACTCCAGTTTAGTGGAAAAGTCAATGCAAATATCTGGGTACCGAAAAGAGTCTGTGTTATTCCTCTTACGTTTAAGACATCCTCCTAATCATGCAGTTATTAGATTTCAATAGACAACTTAGTGTGATACAAGTGAGTATATATTTAATTTAAATGTAAGGAAATATGTTTATTAAAAGATAACTTCACCCAAAAACTTAATTTTGATCTACTTATCATGGTATCTTTTCATGAATATGTCCACTTATTTTAACGTGATATTTTGTTGATATCACTTATTTTGTGAACCAAGTAATTTAAACATAAGTATGGATAATAAATAGCATAATTATATAATAATAAGCATATAAAACTGAGTTCTTAACGTTCGCGTATATTAGCCACTGCATAATACTGCATAGCTGCTGGTGCTCTACAAACAGTAAGAGTTTATTTCAAAATATTTATTTTAAAGCAATTCTCTACATTCAACTTTTAAGCCTTAGGGAAGAAATAAAGCAACCATATTTTTACTATGTAACATTGCCATCAAGCATGGATGAGTGCTTTACTTCTGATAAGAGACTCTGCATCAAGAATTCACCATATTAAGATACTAGCAGATTAAGGGACAAACATAAAATCATGTCCAGAAGGATCCTGAATAAAAGATAAATAAATCCCCACAAAAAAATAAAAACAGATTTTAAACTGAGTATTAGTGTTGCCCTATATATTCTTCATATGTTATTAAAAACACTGTTTTTCTGTAGTCCTATTTTCCCTCTACATTTTTCTGCCAGTCTAAATTTAATCTTCATGCATTTTCAAATCAGACAGATAAAGCACTCTCAAGCCAGCAAAAGGAAGAAATTAGATCAAATAAAATAAAGTACGACAGATAAAGGCAGAGCTGGCTCATAAAAATGAAACACAGGAAAACAACCCACTTTTCATGAGGATGCATGGTGTATGGATGGCAGGGGGAGATGATGTACAAATATCAGTACAGGAAGCTGGAAAAGCAATAAGATAAAAATCTCTTGCATTTTACTTGAGTATGCACAATCACTATATATAACTTGCTAGTGCTGATGTGCCATAGTTAAAAATAGAGTAGAATAGAAAGCAACAATCTTGTTTTAGAAAAAGAAGTAAAAATAGAATTTCAGTATTCTACAGATAGTCACTTTTCATAATTAAAACACTGTAGATACACACATATTTTGAGCCATATACAGCAAATCGTCTTCCAGCAATTAATTTGCAGATCACAAAAATACTCCTGTGATAGCAATCTTGATATACAACTTAAGAGTCAAGCAATAATTCCAACCCAATCAATAAGAATCTGCACAGAAATTTTATTTGCTATCTCTTTTAGAATTTAGGGTCTATTTGATCTGTGGCTTTGTTTATTAACACCAGCTGTGCTTTCACAAATCTTTGTTAATGCTGTTTTAATAAGTACATACTGAAATAGGTTTAAGATTTTTGGCAAATGAGGCTAACACAAGATTGTAAGGACACCTGACTCCATAGACCGCTCTGCGTAGGGAATTGGTACACAATTAGAAAAGTCTAGAATCACAAAACATAAAACAAGACATCAAGGATAGAAATAAACCAAGAATGTAACTTAAAAAAAAAAAAGGCAGCGGATGATATGGGAAAGATCTGATATGCAATAAAAAGATATGAAATGGAAGGAAAAACAGACTTGTCCAGATCTTTAAATTTGATCTGAGGATGGAAATGGCAATGAGGATTAAAATTTCAGACAAAAAAAAAAAGCTAGACTTTTATTGGGTCCACTTGCTTTTATGAGATTTCTCCTTTTTATGACTAGAGTGGAAATCATGCATTAGGAATATCTGAGAAGAATATCTACTGTAGCTGAAGCTTCTCCATTCAATCTATATTACAAGCCTTTTCCATGATCCACAATTCATCTCTTCTACATCAGCAGCACACAAATATATCCCACACTAGTGTTTAAGACATGTAAAATTTAAGATGGATAATTCAATGACAGTTAAATAAAGAACAGAGTCAATGAATACCCCCAGATGGGAGATGTCAAGTAAAAAAGCTTTAAGCTTCTTTTAAATATTATTTATAGCATTTATATAGAATTATGCAGTACTTTATAAAGTATTTGTACCTTATAGTATTAATGTTTATTTTGAACAGACAATTGAATATATTGGAAAGTAATATTCAGCAGATGGAAGTATATGGATAAACCATGTATTTTGTCTTTCTTATTTGATATTGAGGGCTAATCTAACAAGCAGCTTCCCCAAAATGACTGTTTCTTTTATTCTTGTTGCTGCTTCTCTTTAGCTCTTACCTTCCAGACTCAAATGTGAACCACGTTGAGTCACGTCCATATCTCCTCAAAGAGCTCAGAGGCCACATGACCAGCTTGACCTTGGCATTGTGGATGTCCCAGAGATATATGTTTTCATGAGTGATCTGCATTGTACATTCCCCATAGATGTCTAGATTTGGTGTAGGCATAAGGTATACATTGAATCGCTCTGGAAGGAAAAAACAGAATAAGTTACATCCAGTTAAATCAAAATGTCAACTTGCAAAATGTTAAGGAAAGAAAATTTTTAAGTTACTAAAGTTTCAAAAACTAACAGGAAATTCTCTCCCGTGAAAGTGCTATGGATTCACTGATGTCCAAAAAGCCCTGACAGTATACTAGAGGAACCTGAGAATCCTTCTCATTTCATCTTCAACAGAAAGAATAAAGCAGATTGAAACATCTTTCACAGACGATCTTCAAAGTCCTTTAACTTTGTCATATAATCCTAGCAACTTAACTCAAAGCCTCTATGTTCATACTGAAGTTCACAATTCTTCACACACAAAATAACAGTGATTTAAACTCTGGTCTAAGTTTCTTTCTCAAAGAATAAAGTAGTTATATTGATGAAACATATATGCACAACTACTGTCCTTATAAAAATTGTCCTTGTATTTGCAAAACCAGACTTACTTACTGAAGCCTGTAAATAATTTTATTCTTTGTGTCAGGCTTCTATTTATGTGCCACAATTGGTAAAATTTATAACATGTTTCACTATCTGTTGCTTTTAGGAAGCATTTGATTCAGCAAAATATATTATTCAGGCTACACAACAATTTGTGATTTCCTGCGCTTCCACTTCAGGGTATGCTTACTGAAGCAAGAAGTCAAGGCAAAAACAGTTCAAAGCATAAACATTAGCAATACTCATTATATAAAACAGAATCTTGGATATATGTATTTACAGGCAGGCTTGATAAGAAAATTGTGTCCAATAAGTGAATGATGGTTTGGCGTGGACCACTTTTAAATCAACTAATTACAACAAAATCCTTCATGCTGAGAATGACTTTCTAAAAATTATGAAGCAATTCAAAATAGTCATTTAAGGTATATAGTGAGATATTTAACAAAACAGTCAAAATGAAACTCAACCTTCAGGTGTGTTTGACAGTCAGGATCTCAAACATTATGTCCTCAGGTTTTTTAGTATTTGTTAAATATACTTTTCTGACAAATCATTAAATGCACTGCAAATAAATGAGTTAATATAAAATATGCCAGAAGTGAGTTTTTGTAGAAAGTAATAAAAGTTTGGTTAAGGAACTGCTGGGTGAGCAGTAAGATTTGCAGTCCTGCATAGCTATAAGTAAACTTGTCATCCCCAATGTTATTCTGTTTCAGTCCATTTAATTTTGTCCCATTAATGATTCCCCAATTGATTCACTCAATCTCATGGCCATTCAACCTCTTCTCCTAGGCTCTTGGTCTCATTAATCACACTAATGGGTGCTGGTCCTAAAAGCTGCACTTTATGACTAAGGTCCTATGTGGGAAACTCTTAACGTTTTGTAAAAGTCTTCTGACGTACAGCACAAATAGCTTAGCAGGTGCTGCTGAAATTGCTGACAAGAATTTCACCCAGCTCTTGGATGAACGTGTCGAGCATGGGTCGCACTGGATGTTTGCTAAAGTCAACAGAAGGACTCGCATGGGAGGATGAAGCAAGGTCTGCATCATAAAGAGAATGGTGCAGAACAAAGTAACCTACACTTTGTCCAAGAATTACATATACTTGCCCTCTTTCACTGCCTAAATGTTGTAGTAATGGGCCGTGCAAAAATGCCTAGGAGCTATGGAGAACTGTGCTTTTATTAGGCTTTAGTTTTGCACTTCCATGCTGTTTCCTCCTAGAGTATTCTCCCACTGTTTGAAAGAAAGATGCAGATGACCAGGAAATTCTCTTGCCCCCTCCACCTTTCATATAGTCCCCTTTGATTGTGTGAAATCACACAATGTGTGAAACACAGCAAGTAGGAATGTCCATTTCCCAAAGTCTTCTCTTTATCTTGTCTTCACTGACAGAGTACCGCAGAGAGCAGAAAAAAAACAGAAATGTGCAATTAGTTTCTGTAGCAGACATGAAACTCCCATGTTGAAGACAAGAAAAAATTCAATTTGTTTTACAAGCTTTCAGAACATTCACAAAACCCTAAACTCTCAGAAGTGTCTGACGATATTATTTCATGAAGGGTATTGAGGACATTTGATATATCCAAACTGTCAGGAGACATTTGTTGACTTTGCACTGGAGGTCAGTGTCTAAGGTGAGGTGTCAGGGATTGAGGAAAGTATAGCTTATCAAACTGAACATCAGCTGCAAGGCAAAATGTAGAACCACTGGAATTTATTCAAATTGGCAATAAAAGAAAGTGCATAAATGTATATGCAGGGAGAGACTGAATATGGATCTATTTGCTTTTGAAACCCAAATTTACCAATGCCTTCGAGTAACAAGAAGTTGAGGACAAAGGAAAGGCGCACTGTTAAATTATGTTAAGAAATAAAATGTAGGGTCCAATTTGTCCATTTCAGAAATATTTGAGTAGGTATCTAGATGATGATAATACAATCATTCAGTTCCCAGAGGCAAGTTTTGCCCTTAAACTCAGTAGCAAGTACAAATACACTTGGACTATATTTGGGGTGTCTGGACTCATTCCCCAGCTGAATTCAGTCCCCCTGATCTATGATATTTAGCTTCCCTGTGGGTCAGTCACCATCTGCATATGAGGGACAAGGTTAACGAAATAGAAGTTGATGAGGGATGCAGAAAATAAGGAAATGGAAGAAAACGAGCAAGTAGGTACGACCCGACTGAACAAGACAAGGCTGTGACCATGAAGGCGCAATTCCTCAGCATTCAGTATTTCCAGTTTCTTCCTTCCTCTTAAAAAAAAAAAAAGGTGAAAGCAAAATTCAGAAAGAGGGGCAGCCAGGATGCGAAAAAAAATGCTGTTTTATTGCCACACCTATTGCTCTGCAGCTTTCGGTGCGGCTGCTCTTTTGCGTCTCCTTCAATAAGCAGCACAATGCTTCATCACATACTTGGGCTATGTAAAGGTGTTTAGCATTTAGGCAAGTAGATGACCTTTAATAATGCCTCTTGGAGCTCAGGAGCAGAAGAGGCTTTGTTAAACTGAGCATATTGACTGAGACGGAGACCTGGCAGCTACGATGAAATGCAGTCCTGCAGTCTGCTCGATGTGCAGCTGTACTGGGGAAGCAAAATGACCGCGAGGCCTAATGATCCTGGCTCTAATCATTTTATCACTAGATTCCTTTGACTAAATCATCCCAGGTGGAAAACTGAATAGATAACCCTGAAATCCTCTAATCTAGATGCTTCTTTTCATTTCAGCTTTGATGTCAAGGAAAAATACTTCGGGAAAAAGGCAGTCAAGCTGGAATCTAAGTAAGAAGGGGCTTTAAAAGCACATTTTTTTGCTTCTATCTGGAGCTCTAAGCTGGAGCTTCTAAGCTTCTCCATCTATGAACCTTTTTCTGCTGACAGTGCGTCGCTAATTTCCAGGTGGAAAGAGAGGTTTAAATCACAGCATCTTCTGCTATTTCATACATCAGGATTGTTAGAACAATTCTCTCCTGGTTTTCCTTCCCAGGAAAGAACTGGGCCTTTAGAATTACCTCCATGTCTCTTTCCTTGTATAATTATTCTGCTTTGCATCCATTATAAATGCATGGAAAGGTTTATTAACTTCTTTTTAGTAAAATATCAGGGCCGATGCACATTATTTCCTGGTAAGTAAGGTAGAGACGAATCTGAAAATTCAGTGGATTAACTAACCACTTAAATCTGTAAATCCCTTTCTTCTCTGAAAAAAGCTAGCAGTGTTCACTCTTGAAAAATAAAACTATGGAAACAGATTAATGATAACAGAAAATGAATTTGATGGTAATCTCAATCTGTAGTGTAAGGAACTCATAATCCTCTTCTAAATATTCAAAGACTTTTTCAGTATAGGAAGGTACATTTGTATTAAGAGTAATTAATGAGTTTCTTTCTATTAAAATACAGGAAGCAAGAATCTACTGTAGCATCCTTTAAATAAGAAAGGGAGGCAGCACAACAGTTATCATAAAAAAAGAGGTGCCTACAAAGGAAGAAATTTTATGAGCTTTTAAAAATTATATTAGGCAGGGAGTAAAAGAAGCAAAAAATTAATTGTCTATCAAACTTGCCCAGACTTCTAAAATCAAAATTAGCCTTATAGCATATATCAAGGAAAGTCAAAGAGCCAGAAAGATATAATACAAAAACACCATCTTGACATCACAGGCATCACAGCAAACATTAACTGAGCCACAGTGGTAAAAGATGGAATGGGCCTTTCCTTCATCTTAAAAATGAAAATTTTTTCCTTTCACAATTTCTTCCCTCCTTGCATCGTTCTTACAAGTAATACCCCAAAGTATCCGATTTTAGTACAAGTATTCAGCTATTTACGTAATAGCTTTAGTGTTCATAATAGATAGGAATACTGTCTTTATCAAAAAAGGTGCACTGCTTTTAAAGGATCACTTTAACAGCATCTTATTCAAATAATCATTTTTCAATCAATATTGTCTTGAATATCCTGGTCTATTTTACATGGTAAATCTAGTCTCTCGTTGTTCATTTAGAGTCTTTTTTCTTATTACTTTCTTTTATAAAATGGAACATTTTGATTAAATTTTGTGACATTTTGATTAAATCATCACCATAGACAGATTCTACGAGCAATGACAGCCAAGCAGTTCAAAATATTCAAAAAGCAGATTTGTTCCTGTTAGATTTTGGGAGCACTACTACAATAGTTTCTAAATGCATTGAGATCTATGTGGGAAGTTTCTGTGTTTTTCAGATGAAGACAGCACTCTCTATGAATGCTCTTTTTCCCTATCAGCAACATGGGAAGCATAAGGAATATGAAAGGCATATGTAAGGGTCTGAGTACATCACTTAGGAGATTGCTTGTCAACAATGTTATCAGATGCAACTGAGTTCAGATTTTCTTTCCAGGAGTTATTACTGTGTATTATTACTTGCACTGCCATTGTATCTGGAGTTCCAGTACCATTATGCTAAATTCATTATCTAAAGAGGATCATGTAGTCTTTATTACTTTTGATATAATCCTATATCTTCATTCTTCATAAAATAATCTAAATGGACTTTCATAAGCAGTAAAGCCTGTTTTGTTGTCACAGGGCTGGGGAGCGCTGCAAGTCACATGAATTTGCAGGGGAGAGAAGGTAAAATGAGCGTAAGGGACGCTTCATTGCAGATCTCACTTTTATGAGAAACTGCATTTCATTGCAAACTAAGTAGCCATTAGTTGTGAGCCTTTTATGTAGAAAAGAAAATCACCCAAGGGTCATTTCCCACGCGGGAGCTAACACAGTGCCACTTGCAGTAATGCTTCTTACAGGTAATAACGGAGATGGAGTGCAGCGAGAGGTTTGCAGCTGCCAATACTTACACGGGATTTGCACAAGAGCAGAAGGCTCTCAGGAGCCTCCTGTGCTCCTGCAGCAGGTCACAGTACTTGCAGCCACAGGCCCCCTACCACAAGCAGCTCACACGCACAGTTGGGCTTCTTCAGCTACTACTACCGCAGGCTCGTGCGCTGCCAGTGGGTCCTGCACCAGTGCTGCTAGGGTAGACAGTATCTAAAGAGCCTACCGAATAGCTCAGAACAGAGTAACTCTGCTTCTAACAGCTGCACCACCACGTATTTTCTCCTCATGTCACACAAATGACTGATTAATGTACCTTTTAGCTATAACATTCATTTGCAAGCCAAGCCCCAATTTAACCAATCTCTAGAAGAAATTGCTTTGTAAAACATACTATCACACGCATGAGGCAGAGGATCAAGTATTTTCCTTTCTGAAATCAAAAGCTCAACTCATGGGTTGAGCACAAGAGTGAGAGTGGGAAGGTGAACATAATAAACAAAAATATGCTACACAAATCACAGTGAACACACCTATTTTTCCTCCCAAATATTTTCCATAACCTGAGACCTAGGGTGCAAAAAATCCAAGCAGTGTATGGCAATGAGATTTCACGGTCCCAAAGGATTTATGGTATCAATTAAGAAATTTATCTAAAAATCCTCAAAACTAGATGTTTTCATTATGGATGGTTATATCCAGGGAATAAAGCAAATGCACAGCACAAAATATACTCTCTTCTGTCATGAGATCCCAAATTTATCTGATTGCTTCAGTGACTAGTTTTAGAAGTACATGCCATACAAATGCATGCTAGGCAAATGTCTTCTGTTGACAGGAAAGGGAAAAAGAAAGAACAGATGAAGAACATCATAGCATATTGAAAATATCATTGCTAGGAAAGAGTTACATATTTGGGGGGCATGAGCTCAAACTTTAGACTAGTTCTTTTATAATTGAGGAAATATCTTTATCAAATACTAACCATTTAAGATGGTCTTTATCAACAAACATTTGAAAAAGGAAGTGGGATTATGCCTGCTGTGTTGGGATTAAAGGTATTAACACCCTGACATATCATGCAGATACTAACATTTTGTTGTAGCACTACACTTCAATTGCTTTTAGTCCTTAAAATGTCAAAAAAAAAGATCATTGACAATTGTAAAAAATGCTATGACTCTAGGCCAAGTATCATCCATGGTCTTACTCAGAGGCTAAGAGGCATCTTCAGTTCAGTTCCAAAGGAGAGCCATAGCACGATTCTGGGAACAGGGCATGCATGAAATTAAAAGTCAAGACTTTTGGATTCTATTCCTGGTTTTGCAAATATTTACTATGCATTCTTGCATTACCATTTTTCAGTAGATGCTAACAGTAAACTAACTCAACAGGAGTTCCATGAGGTTAAAAAACACTTGCAAAATGTTTTGAAATAATGCAATGTAAGTTCTTATATCAGTGTACTGTTATCTAACACATACACAAAAAATCACCTTAAAGTGTCTCAGCTGCCATTTTCACAATGTGCAAGGATTTGACATTTCTTGAACATATTCACTTGTCATGTGTTTTAAATTGGAAATTTCAACTTTGACCCTTCATTCTCAGGTTGACAGAAGGTCAATAGTCTTTTTAAGGGGTTTTGAGTGTCTTTTGAACTACAGCATTTGGTAGCATGCCCTTACGAGCCACAATATTGAAAATGTGCAGAAAAGTAAATTTCAGATTTTAAATTTTTATCACAGGTCACCAGGTGTTTCCACCCACAAATACACATCTTTTCCAAAAAACGCTCATGTTAGGAATGAGACTGACAAGTTTATAGGAACTAAGATAGACCAAGTCATGGTTACGTTCAACTGATTTTACCTCAGAAAACTGTTAAAGAAATCTGAGCACAAGTACAGGTTCTTACAGCACAGCTGGACTGCTGAAAATGCTAGATTTCGTACCTCCTTCCAAACTGATTAAAAAAATCCAAAACTAGAATTTGCTTCTAGAACTAAAACAGACAACTTACTTTGAATTTCAAACATGCTTATTAAAATGCAGAGCTGTGCATCAAGAGAATGAGGGAAGAAGGGAGATTGGTATTGGAATTGCTTGTACAAGATCCTGTAACTAATGGTTTAGAAGACAGTGTTCTTCAAATATTGGATCCTACTCAGTCACTTGGTTTAAAAAAGACCGGTAATCATATCCCTCCATATGTTTTTATTCATTGGTTTTGCTTCTTTTTATCCTTTTATTTACTTTGAACAATAAAAATGCAAGCTATGTTCTTTTTTGTTGTTGCTAGTACTGCAATTAATTTCTACACTAAAGCAACTGAATCAAGACTGGTTCAAGCAACAGGACTAATCTACATCTTTAGGAGATGTTTTGTATAACTGCATCTCTTTCTATCAAAAACAAGATAAAATGTAGCATTTATCTTCTAAGACCCAAAACTGCTGGACAGTAGATGATTCACTAATGAAATAGCTTGAAGAATTTTGAACTATTTTTCTGTTCACAACACAAGCTTTGATAAGATTTACTTCTCTTTTGTAAAACCTGCGCCTGCTCACATATTTCTCTTGCTAAAAGTGGATACATGAGTTTACACCTATAGCTTATGCACATACAGCAGACAGGATGCTTCATATCTGGTCATTACCAGTTGTATCTGATCATTGTCACTCTTCCACAATCTTAGTAGCTATAATTTGTGCTATAGTTTGACACGTATATAAAGGTAAACCAGGTTACACATTGAATCTAGTGTCACAGTAAGCAAATAATTTGCACAAACACTGGAACTTTCTAAAACTATACTTCACTAATATCTGATATTTGAACAAAATTTCTTAAATATTTATGTACATTTTATGCTATTAATTTCAGAGGTGAATGAGCTCTTGTAAGAAATTAATGCAATGTCATTGAAATAGCGCTATTCATTCTATAATTTAATTATTGGATTTTGTTTATAATGAGAGCTGGTTTGATATTTTATAACCATTGAGGCGATTTGTTTTATTGCTTTTTTAAAAACTATTGAATTTTATTAAAGCACCAAGACATTAATAATTATTGAGCATGATAATTTAAAAGGGAATAAATGAACATGTTTTGTGTTGCCTTGTTCATTAATAGAAATCAAATGAGAGTATAATCACAGATTTAGTTTTGTTATTGAGTATTCCATCCACTAGAATTGCTCCTACATGCATTTAATTTAAAAACCTTTATATGAAGATTTATAAGATTAGGCTTATATCTAGTATCTGCCATTTTTACATGTATTTGATGACATTTGGATGACCTAGATTTCATTGTTCAAGACATGTATGAGCATAAAATGAACATGTTTTTTTTGCAATCCAAAGCCTTGTTCAAACATTCATCACTTTCTTTCAGAGGTTGTGGAACGACAACTGCTTTATTCCTCTGCACAGAGGCCATTCTCTCCAGAACCAGAAAGGTTGTAATCATCATTTTTCATGTCAAATGTGACTGCAACAAACACATTAAGTCACTGTATTTGTGTTGCTTGGCATCAACTTCATCTTCATTTGCAGAAAATAAAATTGTTATTCTAAAACATATGCAGTGCGTTTACTAATGATATTAATGCAATACTTCCAGGCAATAGAAAAAATCTTTGCAACAAGAAACATCAGCAAATATAGCATAGGATATAGATCACCCAAGAACAGATATAGCAGCAATTAGAAAATTACTTACCATTTTGTTCTCTCTGGACTCCAGCAGCAAGCAAGTCAGGTTCCCCAAGACTTATATCATTGAGTCTGGTTCCTAGACATTCCATGCAGAGATGTTTGCACCACTCCTCAGCCTCTAGTTCTGTAAAAAAATGGACAAAAATATCAGACAAGAAATGAAATTTTTATATAAATGCTTCCAAGCTAGTTTTATGACAATTTGTTCATTTTGAAACATAAGTTATTAACATAAACTTCCTACTTCTCTGCCTGGAATTATGAACATTTAAAAGAATTCACACTATCAGGACTACATCTATGCGATAGAGGGTGGAGGAAAAAGAGAGAGAGAGCGAAGAAAGAAAAAGTGAGATTTAAAGGTAGTACCTTTCTAGAAAAACTGCTTGAAAGAAAACTTTTGATTAGGAAAAAAAAATCTAATATTTGGAATATTCTTTATTGCTCATTGTGATAAAAACAGCATTTAAAAATATTTCTAAAGTAATTTTCTAAAAGCAAAATAAAGTAATAAAAAGAATCCTCAAATACAAAATACTTTGCTGTACTGAATAGTCACGTCTGTTAAATTAGTTTGAATACTGAGCTCTATCAGTTCTGTCTTCTTTTTTCCGCAATCTGAAATAATTCTATAAAAATTTAATATCTCCTGGTCCAGTGCCTGCTGTTGCTTCCCCTTGATTTGCATCGGTGAGCTCCCCACAGCTCAGTCATCCGAGACACAAACGCATAAGCCCACAGAGGCCCCTACACACAGTCTTCACTTCCCAAACATAACGTCATGAAATTTCTGCAACTGGTCACACAAACTGCATCCCAAATTGACTTTCACACTGTGTGAAGCCACAACTAATAAAACAGGCTGACTATTTTTCATTAAAAAGTAGGGTTCACATAGGGGAAATTTTCTGGAGAGCAGGCTTGGCATCAGGCTCACCCTGAGCACCTACTGACATAATTAACCGAAATTTTGTTCGGTTTGGTTCAAACTTTTGTTCGGATGACACCAGCCATCTAACAATGTCCACATTAAACTGTTCAAGTATTTTCCATTCCTATTTTTGTGGATATCTGGGAAATACTTAGGTGGTCATTTTTCAAAGTAGTGCTGAAATTTTGAGATGAAGAAAACACTGCACGCATCCGGCAAATTTCAGTGTTGATGATTGTGGAAGAATTGTCTGAAAGCAGCAACTGAGAGAAAAACTAGGGCCTAACCGAGATTTTGGCATTACAGAAGCTTGCTTGGGGTGAGACACAGTTGCCACTTCCAGGATGGTTGGTGCGCACGGACTCTGCTCCTCCACAGTTCCCTGGGCAGCACAACCTGCCCTCCTCGCAGCTGCAAAGGGGAGTAACGGAGGATGGAGTGGGGTGAAGACACCGCGGCCAAACTCTGTTGCACTCCCTGTGCTGGGCTGCTGATAAGCCGCACAGTGGCTGTCTAATGAGAGATATACGATAACATGTCCGGCGCTGAGCCAGCAAGGGTGGCAAATCACTCCTTTTGGATGAACTTTGCTTGAACTTTGCTCATTATAATGTGAAAACCACACCTCCATCCCAAAAGTTACCTGCCTCCGAGGTACGACCACCCCTCACTGAGCACACGCTCTAGATTTTCTCTTGACTGTACCTTTAAATGCAAGCGAGAAACTTTTTCACCAATCAATAACAATATTAAGTAGGACTCTAGTCACTAAAGCTCCACCTGAATGTAAAGAGAAGTATAAAAGGTGAACTCAGGAGGAAAAGTTTGGAGGGAAGAATCCATCGTAACTCTTGGGTCAGTCGACAGGCTGAGCCCCCTTCCCTCCCTTCAGGTCAGGACGCTGCCTGAGGAGACTAAGGAGTGAGGAGGGAAGCATCCATTGTAACTCTTGGGTCAGTTGAGGGGCTGATCCCCCCTTTCCTCCCCTTGGACTGGAACACTGCCTGAGGAGACTTGAGACCGAGAGTCCTCTCCCATCTTCTGGGGTGAGTGATGATTGCACATTTGTACATCAGAGCTAGCTAAAAACCCCACGCTGTAGTAGAGAATTTTCTGCACTGACATCTGAAACCTGCTTTGTAAATGTTGCATTTGAATAAATCATACTGTTTGTGAACTTGACTATTTGTTTGGAGGCGATCAGACCTACAGTTGACAGACTGTTCGTGAATCCGATACTGCCAGAGTCGAGCTTATTGGGAACTCAATTCACTCCTAGGAAGGCGATCGGACCTAAGGTCCATAGACTGTTTGTGAATCCAATACTGATTTGATATCTCTTTCCCCCGCCCTGCCACCAGTACCACTACAGCTTTCAAACTGCAAGATTTCACAATGATTCACTGTAATTAGTGAAAAATACATATATATGGGAAAAATCTTTCCCATGCATAATGGTATGATCTTCAACTCCTCACCAGGTTAACATATTGCAAGTGACAGAAACATCTGACAGAGAAGAGAATGGATTTTAAAGAATGGATTTAAAGAATGGATTGTTTCTGAGTTATGCTATCAAGCCTCTAGCCAAGTAGTTTGAAGGACAGACTTTTTGAGAGCCAAATGTGCTTGTTGTCACAGCAACACAGGAGATTTTGGTGGGAGGGCACAGGAATGTTGCAACCAAAGAGATTTCCCTTGACCCTTTCTAATTTTTTGCAGTCTTTGTCTCAGGATATACATACCCAAAGCCTGTCTTCCGAAAGCATCTTCAGTTTCATATAGTAAGAGAGAATTTGTCAGTAATATCCAGACATTTAAGTGTGCATATGAGAAAATGCAGAACTGTTTCTTAACTTTTTATTTATTTATTTATTTTTACAGATACATATTTCCTTGGTGGAAGTAAGGAGAGAAAAGGTGTATTTCTGGACAACAATAAAAATGTAAGACTTTTAGTAATAAAAAGATGAATGAGGTTAACAGCCTTGCTCCAAATTTGCTTTCTGTTCATGCACGAAGAAAAGAAGATTCCCTCCCAATTTCACTTCATCTCTTTCAGCCTCTGCCATTTCCTTCGGTATTCTTGAGGTCTGTTGAACCAGTGCCCTGCCTATAAATCATAACTTTCCCTGGAGAGGGCTTCATGCTGGGAGACATCAGAAGGAGACTACAACACCCACTGCCATAATCTGGCAGTACGCAGTAGGTGCCGGGGCACACTGGCATACGGATAAGCCGAGCCTGCCAGGGAGGGTGGCACTGACTTGATCAACTGGTGCTTCCAACTGCAGAAAAACTTTGGGGAATCAGCTGGAAAAGACTGGTAGCATGAAAGTGACATTGCAAATCTAACCTGGAGGTCTCATACTTTCTTTTCTGCCAAGACTGAGTAACAGAACAATATAAATGCTCATGAAACGTGTAACCGTATATAGAGTCTATGATCTTTTTCATGATCAATATATAATTGTTTACATATTTTATAGAGCATTTTATTACTTTTTTCATTATGTATGCATCTATTTTGAAGGGGTGCATTTCGGAAATGTAGAATGAGATTATGTTAAATATATCCTAAACTATTCTATTTTTACAACCACCTAGGGAGAAAGAAAAACATATTGATGTTTGCATAAGTCTAGCTTAGCACTGATATGCATTCAAAACAGGACTCTTGCTTAAAAGCTACAGGTTCTATTTATATGCATCCTCACACCACATTTCAAGTGGAAGTACTAGGAAACAAAAAGGTTTGTTCTTGGAAGTGATTTCTTGTGAGAATCTTTATTTTCGTCTCTTCAGTCCACCTGTCTATCTCTATTACAGGAACATCTAAATCTTGAAACTTTGGATCTCAAAACAGCCTCTCAAACACCTTCAGGGTGTTTGAATCTGGCAGTTTCATTTAAGTTGCTGCTTTTCACTGCATGACATTGATGATTAGACCCAGATTAGATCATTCTCCAACTGCACAGGAGAAACTATCTAACTGTGATCCAAGATTATGCTTGGATTTTTCTTGCAAAGTATAGACCATAACATATGCTACATAACTCAAAATTTATATCTTAAAATAACTATCAACTGTATAGTAGAGAAAATATTGTTTCAATGAAGAACTGAAATATCTTTCCAAAGAACTGTGACAACTTGTGCATATTGTCAAAAGCATCAACATCAGCTGCAAATGGTTTTGAAAGGTCAAGAGTACAACTGAGTTTTACCTAACACATCCTGGTAGCTCTTGCTTACTTGCAGGGGATTGACATAGACCTTTTCTTTGGCATAAATGTGAAACCCTTTTTAGAAGCAGGTGAGTTACTTTCCACAGCTAAGGTCATATTTCTCCTTTCATCAGCAGTTCACCACTCTCCCTTGCAACTAGTCTAGAATGCTTTGCATTTCTGGGTATCAGATTTAATATTATTTATGAATTTTGAAATATATTTATTATAATTTATAGACAGATCAGTCACAGCAGCAAACTTTAAAGAAAGAGTAACAGCCAGCACGTTGCCAAACAAAGAAACCATAGTTGCCTCTTTATTTTGATTATGCACAAATACTGAAAGAGATGAAATATTGCAGTGGAACCAACCCATATAAAAGGGCAGCACAATTCATATTTTTAATGCATGCAGATTAGATTTATTGATGGTAAATGTCACTGGAAACTTGGTCCATTGAATGGTCGATTGAAAAAACTGGCACTGAATAATTCAGTTGCAACTTAAGCTAACTGAATTGTTGGACTGCATGATAAACTGTAAAGCATGTTGCACAGCTATAAATGTAATCAACAAACGTGCATTTTCATCTGGGCCATATTTCAGTTATAATATGCAGCTATACAAATGTCACGAGGCGAGATAAAATACAAAGAGATTGGAGAACTTAATTAGGCCCCATGTTTTGCATAAGAATCATCACTAGGAACATCTATAAACATCTCATCTGAAAATACACAGCTTGTCTGTGGCACTACTCCTCCTTGGCTTGCCTAGGCCTCGAGGTCAGTATATGCGGTTATGTGATGTGGCATCTTTACTTCAGCTCTCCGCTGATGACACGCACACCTTGCCCCAGCTGATGGGAACAAATTGCCACCCCCTGCAGTGGTGTGGAGCAAGGGGGCAGCACCACAGGGTGATGCTTGTTCATATAATCAGAGAGATCAAATTATGTTGGTA